CTATTTTGTTTTCTAGTGTCATCTAAATAGATGAAATTTTATTATTTGTAGAATGATTATTATAAGTAGGTACCAGCATTTTAATATGTTTCAAAGCACTTCAAAAGCCTGTAATACTTTTATTTAGACCTGTGCATAATTAGATTAGCTGATCTTATATTAATTTTTTTTCACTGTAGGATACTAACTCTGAGCCCCCTCATTAATTGTGAGAAATTTAGCATTAGCTGTTAAATCCTATGTGAAACATGGGCTGCTACATAAAAACTACTGTTTAAATTGGAATTAACTTAATTATTTTTCTTTGCACTTGATATTTCCTTCACTGCAATATTCATGAAAGCATGTGACAGATTTGTAAATTTAACTGTTAATCTCAGATTTCTAGACCCTTTAATCAGTATTTATTTGTCTGTAGAAACAGTACTAGCAAGTTAATGATTTGCTAATTTGAAAAATGCTCATGTGGTTTCCTATGTGAACTGATTTGTGCATTTTTAAAAAAATGGTACGAAATCAATTAATGTTAAAGAGCAGTTAAGGTGGGGATTTTCTTCCCTTCATCACACAGCAGTCTTAGAGGCAGAGATGCAATAAATGCAAAACAATGTAAAGTTTTAGGGAAAAATGATTTTTTTCCTGATACTTTGTGAACTTTTAGTGGTTTTGTCGCTAACTGTTTTCCTAAGAAATTCATCTTCATAAGGTGATGTTCTCAGACTTTTGAAGTTGTGTCTAATAGTCATGATTCCTGATTGTGTATGAAAGCACAAAATGAAGACCTGCTCACGCAGCCTCATGACCCTTTATTTGTGGAGGCCTGAATGAGAGATGGGTGTGGTTTTTGATGCTTTTCGAATGTGAGACACTGTAGGCATTTTACTATTTTCACAGTAAATGCTTTGAATCTCATATGGACTTTCTAACGTAAAGTAGGGATATAATTATTTCAGACACTCAACTCGAATGCTGCAAAGTTGCTTTAATACTAACATTAGAAGACAATACATCACATAAAAATCAATTCACAATAGACAACAAATCTTGAAGGTCTTCATAACGGCTTCAGGTTAGCTGGCAGTGTGAGGCCTGGCATTCATCATGCACGATGTAGGCTAAGAAGTAATGGCCGGCTTGCTTAGCACGCTGAGAATGGATTGCTTACCCAGTTTATATTTCCTCACACAGGCTTATTTCATTCCTCAGAACTGTAGGAGAAAGGTGGATCTTTTTGCTCTCAAGCCGTCCTTCAGAGTGGGTCATAGTCAGCTCACTCATTCTTTTCATCGGCAACCACCAACCTAGTAACTCTTAAGACACTCATAATCTTGTTGGGAAAGCTGGGAGGAAAGATATACACATACATATACCACACATCATGGGAATCTACTCTATGGGGATTTCATTTGTGGATATTATGAGAGAAATATGCAGCAATTACTGGGAAGTAGTTTACTGAGTGAAAAGCAAAGAGAGAATGTGGAACAGATAGGCCAAGAGTGGTTCAGACTGTAAATATTTCTGAATTCCAAGGGTTTTCTTTTCTTTTCCCCCAAATTAGTCAAATAGAAGGGATGGACGCTTCTTTTGCTGTTGAGAGTCATCTTAATTCATGGTGCTTCCTTTCCTCTGCAGAAGAATGTCTTCCAAGCAAGCCACCTCTCCATTTGCCTGTACAGCTGATGGAGAGGAAACGATGACCCAGGATTTGACCTCAAGAGAAAAGGAAGAGGGCAGTGATCAACATGCGGCCTCCCACCTGCCTCTGCACCCCATAATGCACAACAAACCTCACTCTGAGGAGCTACCAACGCTTGTCAGTACCATTCAACAAGATGCTGACTGGGACAGCGTTCTGTCATCTCAGCAAAGAATGGTGAGCACTGGAAGTCTGGCGACTGCTGCAAGCATGCCTGCTTGTGGTCCTCATCACATACAGGCGTTTAGGGTGTGCTCACGGCATGTGGCCAGGCCAAGAAACAAATACCAGGTGGACAGCTGCTGTTAGTCTAGTAACTGGGAAAGACCTGAGAATGGTTTGTGACCTTGGCTATGTCCCTTCTTAGGTCCTCTTGGAAAAAGACAATTGATTCTTTTTAAATTTTAATTTAACATTTTTGGGGGGTTTATTTAATATTCATTCATTCATTCATTCATTCATTCATTTATTGACAGGGTCGCCTTGTAGCCACAGCTGGTCTGGAACTTGTTATGTAGACCAGGCTGGCCTCCATCCCATAGAGAGCCACCTGTCTCTGCCTCTCCAGTGCTGGGATTAAAGGCATATGCCACCACTCCCAGACTGATTCTCTTTTTAAATAGGAAGAGGTCAGTCATCTTATTATTTGAATTCCTGAATTTAATGTGATGAACTTGGTAATGTTGCAAAGTACGTGTAATAAAGTGAAGTGTAGCTGGGTATTAATATTAAGAAATTGAATTAAGCAAATATGTCTGTATGAATGAGGTCACATGGTAACCATGTCTTCAATAAGGAAATGTAGGTATTTGTCATTTTTAATGACAAGTCTTGATTTATAATACTTTCCCACACACCTATATTAATTTCAAGGGGATATGCAAAGCTCCTGGGAAGTGTTTAATCAGACTGAAGGCATTTTTCTATGAAAGTAGAAAGAGCACATCGAGTCACAGTGTGGTACAGTACAGTACTAGCCTTCCCATGTTTCCCCACTCTACCTCTAATCACCAAAACAGAAACGGTGGTAAGTGGCATTAATAATCCAGTTTAAAGAAAAATATTCAATTTTTTATTATCTAGAGGAAACCAGAAGATTATTAGATTAGAAGTTCCAATCTTGTATATTATTTCTTAGCTTTTGGGTAACCAAAAATGTCAAGTTAATGAAAAATATTTTAAATAGACAGTGAAGAAGTTTTTATTCCTTGGTAAAATAAGGTATTATTTAAAGTGCTTTTGCTAATAAGAGCCCATGGCCTGGCATGGTGGCACATACCTTTAGTCCTAGCACTCAGGAGGCAGAGGCAGGCAGATCTCTGTGAGACAGAGGCCAGTCTGGTGTACACAGTGACTTCCAGGCCAGCTGGAGCTAGAGGGAGGCGCTGTCCCAAAACAAAACAAAACAAAACAACAAAACAAAGTAACAAAAGGAAAAAGAAAACAGAACAAGAGCACATATTTGAACTCCTGCTTCATGCTCTCTGTCGTAGAGATGAGTAACTACTCACAGAGGAAAGCACTTTTCTTTTCAGCTAATTCTGCGGACAAAACCCGTGTTCTGGAGCTGTGGGTGGGAAGTAGGGATCAGAAGACAGATGGGGCGTCTTGACTAACTTGAGCTTCACCCATGATCCAAAGACTTACTTATGTATTTTTATTGGCACGTATTAGTTATACAAATTAGCAAGCTTCATTATGACGTTGCCATACATGCATATAATGTTTTTTTATTATATTTTCCTAATCCCTTTCTTAAGATCCCCTCCTCTTCCCCTTTGCCCCTTCTACATTCCTATACATTCTATATTCACTCTCCACTGATGTCTGCCTCCCCCCTCCCCCAGCTTTGGTTCCATACATGAGAGATGTTGCCTTAGGGTACCTGGCTTATTTCACTTAACATGATGACCTTCAGTTCGATCCATTTTCTTTATGGACAAATAAAACTCCACTGGTTTAATTTTGAGAGTACTCCATAATGTACAGTCTGAGGTACTGGAAGATTTTTTTCCTGGAGAAAGGGAAAGGAAGAGGTACAATGTGCAAGACTAAAGTCCATTTTTCTGATTGAACTCAAGTTGTTGATCTCACATCTCCAGGGTAGTGTGGGTGAGAGAGATATCCAGCCACTGCTTCTTGCTTATTGCCAGGATAATGGGTCTCTGCTTGGTTTTTATCCAAACAAATATTTATTGAGCGCCCTCTGGGTGCCAAGCATTCTATTAGCTGTGGCTGTATTATGGTGGACCAGATGTAATTCACGCCTTCCTGGAGTTTGTGTTCATGGACAGGGGATAGAAGTTAAATAAATACACATGCAAATATGTATATAACTAAGGCTGTGACATGGGCTGTGGAGATCAGAATGTTGTTTGAAAACACAGTAAGGCAAGTCTAGCTTTGAGTAGATGGCGAGGAATGCTCTCTCTGGGCTGCAGATGATAGAAAGTTGTCAGGGCAGGGTGAGAGCAAATCCTCAGAGGAGCAGCCTGTGTGGAATGTCTGAGGTGGGAAAACCATAACATAATTTAAGGAAAAAAGGGGTCTTTGTGTGCAGAGGCTAATGAGCAAGGATGCTCAGATGAGGTTGGGAACAGAGACAGGGGCTGTGTCCTACAGGACCTTGGAGATAGCATTGTAGAGTGAGATTTGATCTGAGTGCAGTGGGAGAGGCCTTCGCAGGACTAAAGGACATTTCACGCAGATAATTCCGACTGTGGTACAGCGAGAAGATGTTGGGAAGCAGGAATGAAAGGGGCAGAACCACCGGGATTTCTACTTCAGACAATCACAGTGACTTGGATTGGTGCAGACACAGCAGGGACAGAGAGGGGATTGGGTCAAGATACAGGTTTGCTTTTATGCCACAGATAGTCATGACCAAATAAAAATAGCGGGTATAGAAAATATATGGATAGACGAAGAAATAACACAGTTCAGATTCTGCTTCTTCAGAGATACTTTACTTAGTTTTCCTAAAATTTTTGGTTTTTGCCAAGTGCCAAGTTAGTATGAAACTTTTATGATCTAAAATTTGTCAGAAACAAGTATTAATGATTTACAATAGCATAAAACAGTTTAAAGATACAAACATGTTGCATACTAGTGTGAAAGAAATCGTTATCTCAAAGTGTTTTCAAACTTCATGCTTTGCTTGCTGTTGGAGCCTTTGTGTATTCCAAATGTTGGGAAGCCAAAATATTTTGTTTTAACTCCCGCTCTATGGCATTCCCCAGCTGTGGACTTATACGGTGCGATAAAAGAATTTAACAAATGGGAAATCGCAGCTGCATGTGGAAATTCCCTTTGTGTTCCCTCTTCACTAGAGAGAGTCAGTCATGGAACTTCAGACCTCTGATGACCCAGGCTGCAGGGGCAGGCCACCAAGCTACTTGTCTTTATTGTAAAGAAAAACAATGGAAAAAAATGTAGGTTTCTACAAGACCTGAAAACCTGTGATGTGTGTGTGTGTGTGTGTGTGTGTGTGTGTGTGCAGACCATAACTAATGTAAAATTTATTAAGCATTTTACCTCATTAAATATGAGGACCAGAAGAACTGTGATGAAATGGCCTGATGTCTGCAGTTCCCCCCAATGGACCTTGTTTCTTCAGTTTTCTTATGATTAACCAAATCCCATAAACACTGTGGAGACATAAAATTTAAAAATAAGTATGAAAACAGCAGCACAACTTTTATCAACACCCCTTCAGTGTCTAATGCTCTTTATTTTCTCTGAAGGTCCTTGTCCTCCAAACAGTTAGAAACAAGCCCAGAAGTGTCTTATCTCCTAAGTTCAGAAGGGTTTTTTTTTTTTTTTTAACTTTTTTTATTTTAATATCAAGACCCCAGAGGAGGCTTTTCTTAGAGGGAAAGCGAGGTCTCCCAGTCCCTACTTCCTAACTAGAAAACCAAAACTCCACATGTTAGAACTTGGAACGCTAACAAAATGAGACACCACACTTTTCTAATAAGAAAATGAATTTGTATTGATCTGAGCTCAGTAGAGTAAAAATTTTAGAGATGTGAGTTCATAGACCAATGCACTATAAAAACTAAGATTTGTTTTAGAGGGAAGTTTGAGTCAAGGACTTCTTATAGCTGCAGCTAGCCTGGAACTCACTCTGTAGACCAGGCTAAGCTTCCATCTCACAGAGATCTGCCTGCTTCTGCCTCCGAAGTGCTGGGACTAAAGGTGTGCACCACCACACCTGGCTTTTAGACAGATTTTTTTAAACAGAAATTATATTACAGATAACAAAATGTCCAAGTTAAGATTCGAGGTGCTGTATTAATTGGTAGCATTATTTTTTTATGGTTGAGACATTAGGTATACAAGAATTCCTTCTCCTCTGTGTATAACCACTACAGTTTTCATCATGGAACCAGGGGAGCGAGATCCTTTTGGCATGGAAACACTGACGTTGTCCATTGAAATGAGAATTTGGAGTCATAAGAAATAAATGCACATAATTTCTTCTTGATAAAATGTACAAGGCCGGGCGTGGTGGTACACGCCTTTAATCCCAGTACTAGGGAGGCAGAGACAGGCAGATCTCTGTGAGTTCAAGGCCAGCCTGGTCTACATAGTGAGTTCCAGGACAGCTGGGGCTACAGGGAGACCCTGTCTCAAAAAGACCAAAAAAAAAAGTACAGGTCACCATTCTTTTTGATGTTATTAGCATAGAAGATTATTTTTGTGACACCATGCAGGAACCTGTATGCTATTTTAATATTTTAAAATTTAATTATTTTCCATTAAAGTTTCAAGTGTAGAAAGGACACATGAACCTAGGTATTATTAGTAAACTTGACTGCAAATTACATAGACTTTTGGGTAAGGATTACATTTATATGTAGCCACTTGTGTCAAATGAGTTGAGATGCGCATGCTGTTTTAAGTCTTTCTTCTATTATGTTTAATTTTGCTTTAGAGTATAATTTAAAGAGGTGTTGTTGCCATCACTGTTACCAGAGTTTGGAGTGACTCTGAAGTTTCAGGCACAAAGACCACTTTGTGAATATCATTCCTGTTTGAATGACACTTACATAGTAAGAAGTCTCAGAGAGCATGACAGTCTCAGACAATGGAGAAGACAGTGAGAAAATATGATAGAGATGACTAAGCAGAAGGGGGATCTATTTGAAAAGGAATCATGTGAGCTGAAGTCCGAG